ATAATTAGAATGTCAACAGCTTCACATTAAAGCACTGGGTTTTTGGGAGAAGCATCATAGCAACAGGGCTAAATTTTAAAGTCAAATGATGCAAAATATATATATATATATACACACACACACACACACACACACACACACACACACACATTTAAACAAAAAATATAACTAGGAAAATAGAAATTGACAGAAGACCTAATTGCAGCAAGCAGATTGAAGATAAAGAAGAGAGAAAGAAAATACAAAAGGAAGTAAAAAGAAAGCAAAATTACATTTCCTTATTTTCACTATCACACTTACAACCTTCTGCAAAATTCATGCCTTTGAAAATTAGTGTTTTGCTGCCAAATATGTTGGTGATGTAATTAGGAGGGAAAAGAGTGGTGTGTCTGCAAAAAAAATGGGACTACCTAATTTAAATTCATTAATTTAAAAAATAATTTGACTTTTTACAAGTTGTATGAATATGATACAAGGAGGGGCAACAATTCTGGTAAGATTTATCATAGTTATATGCAGAAATAACGTGGATATACCTTTCTGTCATATGTAGCATTTTTGTATGCAGAATTCAAGAAAGTAGTTTCCACTTTAAGAATAAAAAAAAAATCAAATAGTGAATTGATGTTAGAATGTAATGCTATATTTTGAATTATACACAAATGCACACACACTATAGAATCTTGTGGAAGGAGAATTTTTATCCAATCCCCCCTCCAAGCTTGAAAGAAGAATATGCCAAACCTGTGCTTCCATAGTTTTGCTAGATACCTTTTTATGTTACTAACTCATCTATAAAACCAACAATAATAAGATTAAAAGGAAAACCAAAAAGAAAAATACATAGGTATATGTATAGTACCAAACAGCCTTTATTGTACTCATTGACCAGTCGTCCATTAAATACCAAATAAAATACAAAGCAAAGTAATTTTCCCCCCAAAAATAAAACAACTTACCGCATGATTCAGTCTAAATAAATTTTAGAAATAATAAAATAGAACTTGGCCACATTCAAATTCAGTCACATCAGTTAGCTAACAGTAGCTGTATGAAGAATGTATCTGAATGTCATGAAAAATTAGTTATAAAGAAATTAAAATAGCTGTGGGGATTTATAAAATGGACAGCAGCAAGCATTGGCCATATTTTCAATTGCCTTTCATCATAACATAAGTATAGAGTTTTTATTTATATTTTCTGAATTTTCCCTCAAAAGCAGCCATTGAGAATGTGTCAAAAATGTGTTAGGTTAAATCTGTTCTGAAATTGGTTATGATTTTTTTGATTTAAATATTTTGCTGGCCATAAAAAAGAGGAGTCAGAAACATATCTCTAAGGCAGACAGATTGAATTGCCCTTTTCTGTACATTACATTTTATTTAAGACCTGATAAGCCTGCTTGTAAAAGTGTCTTGTGAAAAGCAATTTCTAATAAAGCAATTTTCTCCAGATCAACTGAAAACTATTAACCAATATCAGAAATCCTACACTCAAAGTAAAAAATAGTAGCTGTAACCAATTTAAAACAGTACATAAGCATTCATTGGTCTCCACTTAAATCATGCCAGAAAAAACATATATCTAAACTATAGTTTTTAATTTGTACTGCAACATAAAATGTGGAAATAAAATGAAATGCAAGCTTAATATCAATAAAAGCAGTATATAGCGCTAATTTTGACTTGATATATATTTTTCAAGCTAGTGCTAAAACATGATGTATAACCTCTAAAACTTGCCTATTTTTCTTGCCAGCATATGTTCTGTATAGGTCAGTTTGAGAGTTGAATTTATAGATGTTTGGCATAAAGCTTGCTAATTACAAGTAAGAGATTGATGTGCCAATAATTAGTGGGCAATCCTGATTTCCTATAAAGTTAAGTCCATTATCTTGGGTTAATTCAAGGGATAAAGAAATAAATCATTACCTGAAACAAGATACTTTCCACCATGATGATTGTTGGTGGTTGTAAATTGGTAAGAAGTATCATTGCAGATGACCTGAAGTACTTTATTCTTTTTTTTTCCTAAAGAAAAAAAGGCCTCTTTCACAAGGACTGCTGAAAGTTGATAGCACAGCTTCCTTAAACTTTAAAGTAGAAATATAAAAACTGTAATACAAACCTAAAATAGGCATCACACACAGTTAAAATAAGAACCTTACGTATGTTCTGACCTAGGCTTCCTGAGTCAGTAAAACACATGAGTAGTCCCAAAAACCTGTTTTATTTTAACAGCTGTGAATTCTGTTCATTCACAGATGAGTCCCAAATAGTTGTAAAGAGTCCTTCGGGATAAGGCTGTTAATCACCCACCTTTATCTCCCTTGACATGCTGCGAAAGACCTAATTGGCAAAACCACACGGAGTCTAGAATCAAACAGAGCTTCAGACTTAAACTGCACAGAATTAACAATGTTGCTTCCTGCAAAGGCCCACATGCCTTTGCTCCTCTTTTTAAGTCTTATGCGAGGGACCAATAATCTCCAAGTCCTACTCCCAAGTTGTCCCTTTTGTTTTAACTGTTCTTGCCTTCTGGCAGCTCTGCGCGTGCGCACACTGGGAACAGGCTTCCCCTGTTTCTCTGCCTTGCAAGGTCCAACTCTGGAGGTTCCGGAGGCAGTACATACCTCCCAGATGGCCTTTTCTCTGCCTCCAACGCAGAGCCCTCATCCGAGCCTTCTCCAGACTCCAGGACTGACCCATGTTCCTCCCTAGCGTCCTCACTGTCCGACTCTGCTGCCAGCTCTGCAGGCTGCTGGCAGACCACAACAACGTAATTGTATCTTTGTAACCTTAACATGCAACTGTCAATATAGTTATGCATTGTGAACTCCCTATTATATACTAAATATGCATATAATATTGCATATGCAGTACTGCATTCTATGTCGTCATCTAGGCTAATACTTGGAAATGTTCTAATATTACTGGAGTTGCGTGAAGGATAAATACTAGCCACATTTTCCTCTAAAGAAGAGTAGTGAGTTTTTTTCTATTGCTTAACTATTTTAACTATTTTCTTTTGTGCCCAGATATCATCAAAGAGTGCTTTACATTGATATTGATATCCATCATGGTGATGGTGTTGAAGAAGCTTTTTATACCACAGATCGAGTTATGACAGTATCATTCCATAAATATGGTGAATATTTCCCTGGAACAGGAGATTTAAGGGTGAGTTCAGTTATAAGCTTATTTAATTAAGATAACATTTTAGAAATGCTGTTCTTAAGCCTCATTCTCAAGTTAAATTAGTTATTAGTTTCTGTCCATCTTTTCCATTAAATTCATTTAAAATTCATTAGGATTTACATTAATATGATATCGGTCTACATTAGTGTAAGTCCAGATGCTTATTTTCGTACATTTCTGGGAGAGATATTGTAATGGATGTAATGTTTTGAAAATAATTACATTTTTATATTAGATGTGGCATCTGGAGGGTACTAATGTTTTAAACAAAAGTCATTTTAGCATCTAGACTCTAGAGTGATTGTGAAGTTCTTCCAACCTAGTATCTGGACTCCATTTTCACTTGCAAGATAAATATCCAGAAAACCTAAAAATGGCTGGTCAAAACTAATAGACACCAAGATGCCTTTAAGATTTCTCAATAATTATAATTGAACTATACAAACAGTGTCATTGCTTCATTTACAAAGACTAGTATGACAGCAAACATAATATTTAGCATTAAAAATTATATGCCTTTACTTTGTTCCTATAAAACATGAATAAATACACTCACTGTGTTGTATAATGGGTAACATTTTATTGGAGATAATGCTACATGGGGCAACAGTAGTTACTACAAAGGAACTATAGAAATTTGATTTTATAGGCAAAGCAGAATACAGGAAAAAACAAAGGTCTATTATTAATTCAGGTAACCCAGTGTCAAATCACAATTTAATTCATAATTATTTAAGGATGTATCCATGACAAATGTTACTGTTTCACTAGAATCCATTAGACACATTTGAGTCTAGGCCAATGCTTGGCTATTATGTTTTTTAGAATACTACATTGAAAAACTGAATGCCTCCTTTGAATATACTGTTTTAAAAAACATTAAAAGAATAACAAGTAAAAATACTTCAAAAAAACTTGAAGACATTGCACGAAATCACTGTTAAGCACTGTTTTGTTGAACAAACTACAATGGCCTTGTTATTATGTAATGCTATACTATACTAATAATGTTGGGCCAGTGTAATGTTTTAAATTGTTGGACTTAGACTAAGATTTCAGTTCAAGTCCCCATTTGATCAGAAAGCTGATTAGTTGACTTGAAAGGGCATTGGGGCAAACCCAATGTACACAATGTTAAAAATTGTAGAAGAAAGTCAAAATATATATGCAATAAACATAATAAATCTCGTTCTGATAAAGTTTTCTGAGTAGAGCAACTAGCTATAATAATATATATGAGTGCATAATCTTGTGTCTCTAAACTATAACAGTTAAGAAAACAGAGATAATTCCTATTGCTTCAGAGTTCCTTGGTAGTTAATGAATAATATTTCAAGAAGCTTTGAAAATTTTTGCACATTCTTATTTTGCCATTTTAGGTTGGCTGAATCTTTAGTATCAATAGGACTATGTTCTGAGATTAGAGAAACCAGGTGATTTTTGATGTCATTAAATGTTAAGACTAATAATGTGTATTAACACTAGGATTAGTAATGGTGGCCTGATTAGAAGCTAGAATAGAGATAGAGATAAGAAATAGGGGGAATATTAGCAGATATAATTTTATAGAATAGAATATGAGTAATAATTAGATGAAAAGATTAGAGGTTGAAAGATGGTATTACTATGTACGCTTAGTAATATTAGCATTAAAATGGAACATTGAAATATTGAATAACTATTCTAAAACAAACTTGTATATCAATACTAGGATTATATAAATTTGATCAATGTATCAGCTATTGTTGTTGTTGTTATTATTGCTGTTTGTATCAAAATGAATTATACCCAGAGGCCACACTGTCCATGTATTGATATTGATGTTTATTTAAAAATAAAAATCCAATAAAACAAAAAAAATGTTAAGACTAATAATGGACTTGATATTTACACTAATACCAATTTATCTTTTTAAAGGTGGAATTCTGTTTCTTTTACCTTTCTAATAGGAATTAAATACAATAGTTTAATAACTGTAAGAAACTTTTTTCAACCTGTCTGACCACAAGATGGTACTATTGCTTCATGCTAATCACAGGTGATTTTGAGAAAAAAAATCACATGATTAAGAGTATAATACTATTGAATGCCTATCAAAAATGGGTTAGTTGATGGTGTGAAATACCATTGAGAACTTTAACAAGATTTGAAAGGTTGCACTTCCTCCATGTAGGTCACAGCAAACATCAGCCACCAAAGCAGCCAATTTCATAGGTCCTGGCCTGAATCCAGATGGAAGAAGTCCAAATGATCTGTTTCCTCTAGAGGACTCTCTTCCATTTTTTCAATAACCTGCATTTTAAAAAAATAGGGAATGTTGGACGTGGGACAATAATGTTCAAAACAAAGATTTTTGAGAAGTTGATCATTTGTTTTTGTATTATAAGTTATTTCCACTGGAAATAAATACTATTCATATTCATTCTGGTAAATATGAATAGTAACCCATTGTTTAAAGGAGTGCAGCTGTTAAAATTCCTGAATGAAAGATTTAGAATTTATATAAAAATGCAAAGGAAATGAACATAAAAGAATAACATGTGTCTTTTGCTTAGTGAAATGTGGCACATTTCTTGTAGATAAAATAGCATGTGATTTTATGGATCTGACAGAGCAGACCCATGACTTTATATCCTATCCCCAGGTAATTGGTTGTTTTATAAAATCTAAACTGTCTGAATATCTGTATTTTACACCATCCTCATTCCTGGTGAAAGACACTGTATTTTACCCTGTACAGTGATTCCAAATCACGCTTTGCTAAGATAAATTGCATCCTAATTTTGCTTCTGGGTCTGATTCTTCTGTATTGTCACATGTCTATAGCCTGTTTCTCTGAACATATTATTTTGCACATTTTTTTCTATTGCACAAATCAAATGCTTTATAGTGTATGAAAAATTTCATGTAAAATATGTTCGATACATCTGTGGTTATTTTCTATTTAATATTTCTCACATGCTATAACATAGAAGCAATATTTTTAAATCACTTGTAATGGCCAATGCTGATCTGGAATTAAACACATCTTACCATGCTGTTTTCTTTCCCCGGCTACTGATGTGCAATGCCTTCTGTTCATGCTTTTCTTATAGGACATCGGAGCTGGAAAAGGCAAATACTATGCTGTTAACTTTCCAATGAGAGATGGAATAGATGATGAGTCATACGGACAAATATTTAAACCAGTGAGTATATTCTAAACACCTTTTAAAATAGATATTGTAGTATTGAATAAAAGGTTTAATATTATTCCTACTTTTTTATAGATTATATCTAAAGTGATGGAAATGTACCAACCTAGTGCAGTAGTGTTGCAATGTGGGGCCGATTCACTCTCTGGTGATCGACTGGGATGCTTTAATCTTACTGTTAAAGGTAAGGGAACAAAACATTACAGAAGCATCACAGCTTCGTATTCTTGAAAACATTGTTAGCAATTTTTGGTGGAAGTGTTTTATGAGCTTTAATTCGCTAAAGAATTCAGCTTTATGACTTACAATGGGTTTCCAGACATTTTTCTTCCATTTCAGCTGTATTTCGTAATGCTTATGTAGCAGTTTATATATACCCATTGAGTTTTGATGGGATACTTTCAAAGTATTTATTCATTCATGCTGAAGTAAAAATTGTAATTAAATAACTTACGGTTAAATTGTGATGTGTTGTATATGAATTAATGGGTCCTCTAAGAAAATGTGTATCACCTTCTAAAAACTTAAAATGCCTGTTATTGACATTTGTTCGTGTATGTAGTTTCTTGTATATAGCAGGCAGTTGAAGGAATAACTTAAAAAGCTGTTTCAGTTTAGCATTTTTACATATAATAGACTGATGTGCCTTGCTTGTCAAATGGCATGTGAAGAAACAGATATACATAAATATGCAGAAGAATCTATATGCTACTAAAACCCTTGTTTCCATAATTTTTAACACGGCAAAATGGTGCATCATTGGACAACCATTTTTGAATCAAGTTATTTCAAATGGGTTAATTTATAGAATGCATCTGAAATCTAGGACACATGACTGAATGAAATTTAGGGAAATTGTGGCTACTGCAGTCATGTACACAATATTCTGTGACACTTAACCTGCCCACTGGCCTTAGACTTGCAATTTTTTCTGGCTTCCCCACTGTTTTTCTCTGCAACCTTCCCACAAGCAAAATAAGCTATCTGTAATTCTGGAAAGGGGAGGGAGGGAGCTTCCCATAAGGAAACTCAATGGGGAACCTGGACAGAAGTCATTCCCATGCCCACTGTTGTTTTGCCCACCCATGGTTGTTCTGTTTCTCTGTTTAGTTAAGGAAATGTCTCTGAAATAATAACCCAATAATACACAGGCTGTCTAGTATACTACTATATGTGCTTGTTTATAAACTTTAATTGGGTAAAACTGTGTGTGATAGGGCAACAGATTTTGAATCAACACCTTGAATGGGCTAACTTCCAAAATGTGTCCAAAATCCTCAGGAGATTAAAATTTGGCAAAGTTGTGGGCACTTTACTATTGCTATGTTATTGCACTGCTTGTAGTCACATTTCTGACACTCCCTGCTAGCTTCCAATGAGAAAAGTCTTTAGGAAGCTAACAGAAAGATGAAGTTGTGCTTGCTCCCCCTGCTTTTTTGTCATCTGTGGTCATTCTGTTTGGTTTTTTTTAAAGAAAGGAAATATTGCAAACCATTACCTGATGATTTATGGATTGTCTATCAGCCTTTCCTTAAATATAGCATTATGTTGATCTAAAGTTGCTGATGCTTAACAAGTTTTTCCATTAATGGAACATAGTTCTTGGAGAATCATTCATTAGTTACACTTAATTGTGGGCAATTCTGTGCCTTTTTTAAAACCTGGAAAACAATTTACATACAGGTACCTCAGTGCTTTAATGCAAAACACCTTAAAACATTTTAGGTAATCATAATAGTATTGATCACCTTAATTTTAAATTATTTTCCTTAAGACCAATAAATTATCTGTATTTTAAAACTGAAGTACCCCATTTTATTCTTCTATCATTTCAGATATGCTTTGTTTGGTTATGAGATCTCAATGTAGAAAATCCTTATTTGGTAATCTTCATATTAAATATAGGTGTCTTTTATAACTACATGTTTTCTTTTTAAATGCCCATGACTTCTGACAGGTCATGCCAAATGTGTGGAAGTTGTAAAGACTTTCAACTTGCCTCTTTTGATGCTTGGAGGAGGTGGATATACCATACGCAATGTTGCTCGATGTTGGACATATGAGACTGCTGTTGCCTTAGACTGCGAAATTCCTAACGGTAAATATTATACTAAAAAGTACAGATTGTCTAATAATCTAAGTTATAATTAACATAAGTTCACGTAGACTTTTCTCTGCCTTAACAAATTCCTAATTCCAACAAGAATTCTGTACATTGTGATTTTGAGTGGCACCACCCAAAAGCTCTACAGTTCTAAGTTCCTGCAAAATTCTTCAGACTCTATTCTAACCCTGCTTCTCCCTCTATGCTTTGGTTTCTTGGCTCCAAAATTTGGTTACATATTTGATTGTTGGTTTTTGCTACGCTCAACATTTTTGTTTTAATTCATGCTGTCCAGAAGGGACTGGCAAGGTACCCTTCAAAGTTACCCTTCCCATATGTTCATCTCTTCCCCCTGAGTCCTTCATGAAAGTAACATACACTATTGTTGTAGGATCCAAACACCATCTCTGTAGCTAGTTATTACCTTTCAGAATCTTGTTCTCTTCTTGGGCCATGATCCTCAATTGGATATCCTGACAAAAATAATATTTACACTCCCAGTTTCTTTATCTTCTAACTGAAGGCTTTGTAATCTCCAAAGATTCTTTCAGGATCTTTTTTGGCCATACCATTTGTCCCCATATGAATCAAAAGAAATGAATAGTTGGTGGGTTTGAATAATATTGGTAATGTTTTGTAGGGGGCAGTGGGAATGACCTTGAAGGACAAGAGGAAGAGCTCCTATCAAGGCAATGGCCATATAAGAGAGTCTTGATCCTAGGCCAAGAAAACATCTCAAACAATCCCCTTCCTAATTTGCACAAAGATAAAGTGAGGAAATTCATATTTGCAAGATTCTGTTACTATAGCTGTTACAATAAAAATTCTGACCTTTGTGGTATTAAATTTTGAGCCTAGTCTGTCTTGTTGGGCTGACCTCTCTCTGTCATATTATGGGAAAACAGTGTTTTGGCTGCATCTTCCTTATTCTTCCACCACTGTTAATCTCTATATGTTGTCTGTTCTCAGTGATCTCACACTCTGGAATCATCCTTAAATTTACAGTATATACAGTGTAACTGTAACTTGTAATTATTACAATTATAATGTAAGGGTTTTTTTAATGAAGGTGTGGGGGATGTTATACCTTAAAATAATACATATATATAAAATATGTTTTCAAACAAAATGTCAATATGTTTTGTTTCCCCCTTTGAATCCAGTGGATTTTGCAGTGTTTAAAAGGCATCCTTAGTATTTTGATATGTGTGTGTGTATATATTATCATAAGGCTTATATTATCCTAGTATTCCTTTGTTGACTAAGAGACATTCTTTCTGTAACTATCACTTGCCTATTGAAGTTTCTACTTGTGGCTGAATAATTATTAAAAAGTAAAAGTTCAACTGATGTTTCTTGAATGCAAGTTTATAAAAATAATACTTATTAAAAAATAATTTTAATAATATTGAAAATAAATAAAATATATAAAATCCTATATGTAATTATGTTCATAAATTGTTTAACTTTAGACAGTGATTTAAATTAATTATTTAGTCCTTCCAGTTAGTATATAGAAATGGCCGTCCACTTTTCTTGATGACATTTTCAGATATGTTTGATCAGTGCCTTCTTTCTTGGGGAGTGACTGACTTGGTCACCTGACTGGTTTCCATGCCTCAGTCAGAATTAACACTGTTATCCTCCCAGCTTTTTACTCCAGAACTTTTAACCACAACATCAAACTTATTGTGTGTGGTACTGTGTATAAAACATAATTCAAATTTGTGGAGTAAATATTTTAATTGAATTGTTTAAATTATTTAAAGTCTTTTCGGGCGTATACAGTACAGATTCATTCTTTCAAGCTTCACTAGTTCAAAAGAGACATATGTTTGGAAGTATCTCTTTTGAAGAACTTTCCTATCCTACCTTCTATTATACTTGCACAGCTTTAAATGAATACATGTATTTATGTAAATGAATACATTCTAGGTGTCAATCATTGAAACAAAAACACAAATGAAGGAAGTCACTTCCTGTGACAGTGCAGACCCTATTTTTATTTTACAGAATATAAATATTCTCCATGTAAATAACATAACAGTATTTGAATCAAACCATAATTTTGAACCATAATATCTTTTACTTATGTTTCTCCTAGAATAAATCATTGCATTTATTGTTTTGATAACTGAAATTTTTTATAGTAATATTTTCAAATATACTAGTAAGGCCTGTAAGTCTGTTAGGAATTCAATAATAAAAATAAAAAAGTTATATCTCAATTTTGTTTTTAACAGAATTGCCATATAACGATTATTTTGAGTACTTTGGACCAGATTTCAAACTGCATATAAGCCCATCAAACATGACAAATCAGAACACTCCAGAATATATGGAAAAGATTAAGTAAGTATTAATGTCCTATTTTAATAAAAACAATAATGCTGTGAAAATTTGTAAATGTTTTATTAAATGATCAGTAATAATAGAAGGCAAGGAATGGGTTTGCTAATTACATCTGGGGTCTTAAATAGTATAAAAAATGAAAACTGATAGTTTATCCATTTAGTAACTCAGAAGAAATATCACTTTTCCTATTCTAAACTCAGGCCTACTGTATTAAAATTTTTGCTTAGAAAGTAAACTGGTAAGTCTCAGGAACCTTTTTTATCATTAACATTCATAGCTTGCATATTATTTTGAAAACTGGAATATGTTATCACTATAAAGTTACATTAGTAATTTTCAGAAGTTTGCATTGAACATTGAAAACAGGATAATTGTTCAAAGCTTGTATTAAAAATGTGTGAACATTTATAGAGGTGTATTTATGATTACAGAAGACCCATTTATCACATTAGTCATGTTTTTCTGT